CACATCCCTATTGTTGGGATGGATGCCTCTTCTAATGCGAGAGAGGTTGCCACGCGTGTGATTAGAGGAAGGCCCTCCCTTGCAGGCCTTCTAGGGCGCGATAGCAGTGCTTTCCTCACCCGTCGGCGGGATGGCGTTCACTTCTTGTTGCTGCCCTCGGGATGCCGCAGAGTGACCCGCCACACCTGTCCAGAACGCGATGCAGTCGCGCCCAAGATTCTGCACGGGGCAGCTGCGGGAGAAAACAACAACAGAGTGACCACCACGGGCTGCCTGGGCTGGGAACCTGACGTCATTGAGGAATGCAAGTCGGAGAGCGGTGGCGCGACGACGCTGTCAAGCCACCGCGGCAGTCATAACACGGAGGTGGCCTGCTGGTTGCTCAGTGGAAAGGGGCCTTTGAAGGCGGTGCACCCGCGACAGCGTGAGCGCCAGAAGTCTTCGAGAGCCTGGCTCCCATGTCTGCAGCTCCCATTTTTTCCGATTGCGCATAACACGATGGTTGTTTATTTTTCGAGTTCCAGGTCCCGCGGATAGAGCAAGTATCAGCGCAATGAGAAGGGATACGTGGGAGGGGCAGAATGTTAAGATATGTCGCCAGTGAGCCTAGCTTGCCTTCCTTTCCCTCTCCCTCTCCCCTGCCCTTCCCTCCAGTCCAGAGCAATACCCCCGAGAACACACACACATCCCACCTTCGCATTTTAAAGTAAAACTACTCCACTGCTTTCCCCCCTCTCTCTATTCCCCTCTACCTTCCCCTCCCCCTTCTCTCGCTTCGCTTCCCGTCCCCCTCTCATCGCCCTCCTCTCCCGTCTTCGTTCCGCTTATCAACAGACACCCTGTCCCACACTTGATTGGCTGCCGACCGGGGGCAATACTGTCCCCCTCCGCCATGCGTGCCGAAAGCTGAACAAAGTGCACGGGGCGGCATACTCCAGTTACTCTGTCCTCCCAGCACCATCAATCTGCATTCATGTTTGAGAGCACTCGGTGTCACTGGCGCACTCAGGGCACTTGGTCCACCTAGCGCACATTCATTCAGTAGGCACGCCAAATAAGAGATCGGCCTGCCAGCAGTGTCACACGACAATTTCTTATGCCCCCATTGCCCTGGGGACCCGGCAGAAACCTTGGGGCACTTTGGCCGTCGACAAGCGTGCCCCTAGGTCTCTTGCCACGGGAGGTCCTATCGCATCCATCTGTTGTAGCGCCTTTGGTGCTTCTGGCCCTCACCTGGCGCACTCTCGGCGCCCTTGGAGCCCTGGACGAGCCTCTGGCGCCCCTGGCCCAGCTGGCGCGCCCCTGGAGCCCTGGGCGAGCCTCGGCGCCCTGGGAGCCCTGGGCTGGCCTCACGCACCCGGCGCGTCCGGCGCGCACCTGGCGCTCCTGGCCCGCCTGGCGCCCTCGGCGCACGTGAAGCACCCGGCGGAGCCGGCGCGCTGGGCGCTCCTCCTGCGCCTGGCGTACCTTGGCCCGCTTGTCGGAGGCGACGATACCCGTCGCTTGTTGAAAGCAGAAAGCAGGTATTTCTGAATGCCCAAGTCCCCCAAGTCCCTGGTCTTCAAGAGTGGAGTGGTCTTCACTCTTCCCTCGTCCTCAGGGGGTGGGCGGAGACCCAATCTCGTTATTTTCAACGCCTTCCTACTTGCCCCAACTGGGCTGTTCGCACACATCGTCGCCTCCGACCGTGGCGCACCCGGGCCCCCTCTCCCCGCGCACCTGGCGCATGTGGCTCACCCTCAGAGGAGGAGAAGAGAAGGTACCGATTCCGCTGCGCGTCCTGGAGATCCCTTGTCGCCACGGCAGGCTTCTCCTCGAACGTTTGGTCACGGGATAGGTCCAGGGAGGAGGGGTCTCGGTACCCTTTTGCTTCCCCACGCTTGGCCCACTTGGCGCACCTGGCGCCCCGCGGCGCTTCTGGCGCACTCCGTCCACCTGGCGCACCTGTTGCATTCGGTCTATCTCGCGCGCCGTGCCGCCAGACCCTACCACACCGTATGCGGAACCGAGGGAGTCTTCGACCTCCACCTCCCCGGTCCACGCAGTGGGTCGGGCGGCGAGACGCGCCAGCTTCTTGGATGGCAGGCCGTTTCTCCACTGCAGGCTCACGCGTTTGCAAGCCACAAAGTCTTTAGCCGGCTTGGGCCAAGCTGGCAGCAGGCGGACGAGAGAGAGAGAGAGAGGGAGAGAAATGGAGAGCAAAGTCATAGATGCCGCCTTGGGGCAGGGCCATCTGTGACCGTACCGTTGCCTTAATCAGACCGACCATAGGGAATGCAGTACAAGCCTTTGTTCGGGAGAAGTGGGGAGCATGGGACGAATCTGAAGGGGAAATGCGTTTCTTCGACGCCGTACCCGACCCAGGGCTCCATCCCTACGAAGTTACGAAAGAAAGCCGTGTTGCCCATACGCGCTAAAAGGGCACCATCCTTGACACATCATACCATAACGATCAAGCGCGCGCTGAGTCAAGCTTGGACAGGTGATTTCGGCCGTTGCCTCGGGCAACGCCTGAGCAAAGCTGTTCTCCCGAGTTTTCATCCGAACTCTGCGTCCGCGAATTAAGCTCATTGACTGGTCGAGCCTGCTAGCAGGCCGTGTCCTGTTCGGCCGCCGAGTGCGCACATTATGGCGCAACCGACAGCAGGCCGCTTTATTTTCGGCCGCCGAGGGAGCAACCTATGGCGCAGCCAATCGCAGCTTGTTGTTGATCCCTTTTCATGCTCATGTTTATGTTCGACCGCCGAGTGCGAATCGTATGGAGCAAACCATGGCGCACCGTCTTATCTTCGGCCGCCGCGTGAGCAACCTCTTGCGCAGCCGGAAGCAGTTGTTTTGCTTTGCTAGCTTTGACAGCCGAGTGCGACTCCCATGGAGCAACCAATCGCATGTCGTTGCGTTTTCGGCCGCCGAGTGCATAACGTATGTCGCAACCAATCGATAGCCCATGATAGCCGCTGTGTATTCGGCTGCCGAGTGTGCAACCCATGGCGCAACCAAGAGCAGGCCGTTTATGCTCGGCCGCCGACTGCGCAAACCATGGCGCAACCAGAATCAGGCCGTTTGATGTTCGGCCGTCGCGCGCGCAATCTATGGCGCAGTCAATCGTCGACCTTTTGAGATTCGGCCGTCGAGCGCGCAGCCTACGGCGCAACCTACCACACGGCGCAACTTGCAGCACAAACCAGGAGCGTCATTAGTGGCGCGACCCAGCCCATGGATGTCCCAATCCAAATCGAAACCAATGGATGGCGCAACCCATGGGTGGCGCAACCTTCGGCGCAACCCATGGCGCACCCCATGGGTGTGGTACACCCCCTGGCAGATCCCACGGGGCTACGACAGAGTCATGTACACGCCGCTTGGGCTGGCAGTGGGACCCGAGCGGCGAGCTGTCTTGAGATTTCCCTGACGATGTGGGAGACGCTCTCTCTCTCTCTCTGTCAAATTACAGGTTTCCAGTTAGCGTTTGGCAGCGTGGACCAAGCAGTCGGTTCTCGACCTCTCGGTGTGCATTTTCTTTATATTCGTATTGTGAAGGCCTTGCGGCCGGTACCGCCGACCCTGACGGTGGGACCTTCACCCGGACCCTGGAGCCCCCCCCCTTGGGACCCCAGGGCTGGGGCCAAGGCTGGACCTGGGGCCACGGCTTAACGGCCAAAGCCACGGCCACGGCCGGGGTCGGGGCCGAGGCCGGGGCCGAGGCCGTGGCTGGGGCCGGGGCCAGGGCCGGGATCAGGGCTGGCCCCCCCCACAGGGGAACCCCTCCCGGCCCCCCCTGTCCACAGGTGGGACTACCCCCCGGGACCCGCTGGGACCCCCGGAGGGCGATAATCTGACCCAGCCCTCCCCCACCCCTTTCCCCCCTCCCCCCCGCCCTCCCCCGCCCCTACCCCCCACCTACCTCCCCCGCGTCAGTGAAGGGAAGGGATGGACATCGACTTAACTAGGACGTTTCTTTTCTCTGTTCGTTCCTCAACTCCCTTGGGACTGGCGACGACGACGGAGACGACGAAGACGACGACAGCGTCTTACTCACGCCGAAAGATCGGCGGATTTATTATGCATATCGACGTGGATGCCATGCAACCTAAGTCGTGCAACCCATGTCGTTGAATCTGCACGGGGCGGGCTGTTCGGTACAGGCTATGCGTCGCAGGCTATGTGGCGCAAGCTGTGGGGTGAATTATTTGCCATATAATTCATAGGGCGCAACGCTTGTGGTGCAAGCTATTTGGTGCACTGTGTGGAACCGCGTGTGACCACCGCCCATGTTCGAATAAACATTCCATGCGCCCATCCGCAACTTGTTGGCACACCTCATAAGGCCGTGAGTGCATTTACCCGTCGGAACTTGCTTGGGAGGTCCAGCGGAGTGGAGGTCCACGCAGATCTGCCGAGAGCTCGCGGCTCCCTGCGGGGTTGCGAGCCGCGCAACTGTCGCCATCACACAGATCTGCCGAGACCTCGCGGCTGCCTGCGGGGTTGCGAACCGCGCGTCGGTAGCCATTTTCGTGGGCTCCTGGGAGGTCCAGCGAAGTAGAGATCCACGCGGACCCAGCCTAGGCCTTGCGGCTCCCTGGGAGGCTGCGAAGTGCGCGTCTTTCATCATGCTCATTTGTATTTAGCGGTCCCGTGTTAGAACAGGGTTGGGTACGTCACCGGGCAATTTTTCAATCGACTACAATCCAAGCGTTCAAATAAGGATCACTTTGGGCCCGGAGGGGCTCGGATTTCCGGGCCGTTCCTCAGGCCCAGGTCTGGGAACCTGTTCTTGTGCGGGGCTCGAGGACACATCCGTTCCAGAGCGTTCCAGAACTGTCACAACGCGCTCGCCAGGGAGCGGTGGACGCAGGGACAGGAGACGACGGAGACGACGACGAACGAACGACGGGAACGGACAAGCCCCTCACACACGCCGACACAGGGTCGGCGGATTTATCCTCACCCGATGTTATCCTCGTCCCGGCTTCGTCCCAGCCCCCGCTCCGCACTCTCAGGCTCGCGCTGGCAGCCGCAGCCGCAGCCGGGGCAAAGGCCGCGGGAGGCCTGGGCCTGTGCGGAGCGCGGGTTGCCGCGGGTGGTGCGGGAGGAAGCCTCAGGTCTCCGACCTGTTATGATTTGCTCAATTCTTCACGCTCCGCGTGTGCCCACCAGCCCAGTCAGAAACGTTGCCCAGAAGCAAGGGCGCCCTCGAGGGCGCAAAGTTCTTCGCTCTTCGCGGTTCGGCTCCGATTCCTGCTCATCCTCCTCTTCTCCCCTGGGGGGGGGCGGCGCGAGAGCGCGAAGTCGCACAGCGCGGAGCGCGAAGTTGGGCGCCTTTGATGAGAGGTGCTGGTAAGCGGGCGGAAGAGTCGCATACGGTGGAACAAAGCAGGCAAGCAGGTAAGGAAGCGAAGCTTCCCTGAACGGACGAGGTTCTTTTTTGAGGCGCTCGACCACCTTAGCCCAAAGGCTGGTGGGATTCTGGCATTTTTCCTCCATTCTGGCCTCCAGGGCCCGTTCTCGGGCCCCAGAACCATCAACCATGGATCTGGGACGAAAAACTGCCCCTCGGTGGTGGGTCGGGAGGTCGTGGGAAGCGCGAGCATCAAGAAAGAAGGCTCTCAGGGAGTCCGAGGGTCGGGGAGGGACCTGGCCAGCCCAGGCTGGTATCCAGCAGCCGCGCCCCAGCGTGAATTTCCGATGGCACCTTGCGTTTGCGCAACGCAGTCCGTGATAGTGGCGCACGTCGCATCTACTGACCGATATGTGTAAACGCAGGTTTCGTTATTGTTTCGTTCCGATCTCTGGCATGTGGAAGGCTGGTGGAGCGAGGCTGAGCGACGGCCATCTTGCACGAAAATCGGTACCTGCAGCATGCATTGTTCATGCTTGTATATTTGCGCAAAGCGACCCTTTGCAGCGGGATATGTTTTCGTCCGGCATAGTGCTGACTCAGAGCAGTGTGCTCAAATCTTGACGTTTCGCGCGTCCCCACCAGCCAACCCATCATCAACAATTCGGCGAGATCTGGTCGCTCTGCGGCAGGCTCCGTCAATCAAGGCTCCAATTCCTAACGTCAGTCAGTACGGGACCGCAAAAGGTCAGACTGGGCACAATGAGTTGCAGCAGGTTTGCAGAGGACACGCTCAGTCCACAAGAGCGGGATATTCGATCATACCTGGAGTTGGATTATAGAAGCGCAGGTCGGCCGAATGTTGTTTGTAGATCGTTTGCCGTGTCGGTGCGTCACGGGCGCGCTCTCGTTTTTGTTTTGCTTCTCTCTCTCTCTCTTTGCCTGCTTGTCTCTATCTTTCTCTTCCTCTCTCTCTGTGTCTCTGCGCGCGTAAATGTTTGTGTGACACAACAACGAACGTACTGCGCAAGTATTTACATTGTTTCGTTCGAGCGATTCTCGCACGCGTTTGTTTTGCAGTGGTGTACGTAGGGGTCTTGAGCGCGTCTGGTCGGCATCAGCGGGCATCAGCCCGTGACCCCAGGTCATGTCGGGATAGCGAGGACGCGCAGGACTCTCTCTCTCTCTCTTTCTCTCTCCCTCTCCCTCTCCCCCTTTTTTTTACTCTCTCTCTCTCTCTGTGTCTCTCTCCGCAGGCTCATCCGTTGCTTCTTAGAGACGTGGCTGCCAGCAAGCTTCTGCAGTTTCCGAGCCATCCAGAGTCATGTCCTTTTTCTCTCTTCCTCCTTTCTTCGCTACATCTTTATTTCCCTCTCGTGTATTCCCTCCTCCATGAAGGGGACAACTGCTACATCGTAATGCTTCACAGTTGTTGGTGACTTGCGTGTCTCTACCTATCATGGAGTCTTCGACGACCATGTGTCATTGTGACTGCATGCAGCCTTGGATGTGCCCTGAGCCTCTGGATCACTTCTTAGTGTATTCCTCTCTCTCTCTCTCTGTCGTTCAATCTCTCTTGGCGTTCTTTTGTTGGTTTTCTCTCTCTCTCTCTGTGTTTCTCTTCTCCCTTTCCTCTCACCCAATTCTGATCCCCGCTCCCCCATATAGTTGTCGCTCTCTCTCTCTCTCTCTCTCTCTCTTTCTCTCTTACTATCGTCTCTCGTCTCTGGTTTCTCTCTCCCCTCTCTCTCTCTGTTCCTCCCTCTCTCTATTCCTCTCTCTTGCTCTCTCTCTCTCTCTCTTGCTCTCTCTCTCTCTCTCTCTCTCTCTCTTGCTCGCTTGTTCGCTCTCCCTCTCTCCCGCCCTCCCCACCTCCCTTCCTCTCTCTTTCCTTCCTCTTTCTCTCTTGCTGTTGTTGTCTCTCTCTCTCTCTCTCTTTCTCTTCCGTTCGATCTCTCTTGTCGTTATTTCTCTTTTTTGTTTATCTCTCTCTCTCTCTCTCTTTCTCTTCTCCCTTTCCTCTCACCCGCTTCTGATCTCCGCTCCCCCATGTAACTGTTGTTTTTTTTTGTTTCTCTCTCTCTCTCTCTCCCTCTCTCTCTCTCTCTCTCTTTCTCTCTTAGTATCGTCTCTCGTCTCTGGTTTCTCTCCTCTCTCTCTTTCCCTTCCTCTCTCTCTTCCTCTCTCTTGCTCTCTCTCTTGCTCTCTCCCTCTCTCTCTCTCTCTTGCTCGCTTGCTCGCTTGCTCGCTTGCTCTCTCTCTCTCTCTCCCTCTCGCCTGCCCTCCCCCCTCAACTTTATGTGTTTCTCTCTCTCTCTCTCTCTCTCTCCTCTCTCTCTCTCTCTTTTTCTCTTGTTTTTTGTCTCTCTCTCTCTCTCTTTCTCTCTCTCTCTCTCTCTCTCTCCCTTACACACACACTTGTACCGCGGTGCTCATCATGGTTGTGCGCACTGTCTGTACCAGCAGCGATTGACATACGAGTGTTGAGCGACGCTGAGGAGAGTAGCATGAAGCGACACAGGACATCTTGCAAATTGGGGAGGGGGGAGTCGATGTCGAAGTCCCACTGTCCCAAGTATGGGCCGCATGCCCCTATGTGCGCTGCATCGGCGTTGCACCGTGCTGCTCTTCGTCACTGTCCGCGTTTTGGATTCCATCGGATGTGAAACATAGTGTTGCGGGGATTGTTCGTCTAGCCTTCCTCCACATGTTCCGGCGCCCCGCCTCTTTCGCCCACCTGGTTCTTGGTGCTGCAAGCATGGCCTAGTGGCCAAGGACTGCGCCGAGGAAGCACCACACTCTGGCGCCTTCGCCGCTTGGCGCCGACGGCCTGGGGCGTTCGAAGCGAAGGCGGTCGAGCTCGCTGCAGGCCCCAGTGCGCGCCTCGCTGCGGTGTCACGCGAGACCGCGTGTTTGCTCCTCCGGCCCCGCTGGCCGCACCGCCGCGCTCACCCCGAACGCCTCTCCGCGGTGGGTGCCCGCCCTCCCCTCCCGTGCTTCGCGGCCGCCCCTCCTCGCCTTCTCGTCCTCGTGCGGCCAGGCAAGCCGTGTGCCGTGTGACCCCAGCTGCTCGAGCGCGCGTGCGGATGGCTGCCGCCACGCTGCGACGGAAAAAGCAGTTCTTGCTCGCCCCTTTTTGCTGTTTTGTCTCTGTGCCGCCGCCCTTGACTCCAAAGGATCGCAGGGAGCGGATCGAGCGCGAGGAGCGCGAGGAGAAAGCGAGGCTGAAGGCCAAGCTGGAGGACCTGCTGTGTGGCTGGCGTTAGAGGCAGTCTATGGACAACAAGCACATGACACTTTTACCAGCCAGCGAAGCCCAGCGGCAAAGAAGGACAGGAGGAGGAGGAGGAGGAGGAGAGGGAGCAGCAGGAGGACCCCCTGGGGCTGCTTTTGGAGGGGCTCGCGGGCTTCCCTCCCGCCCCTCCCGCCCCTTCGAGCGCTGCAGGAGCGTGGAGGTCGAGGCGAAGGACGCTGTCCTGCCTCCCCTGCTCTGCCTCCTTGTCCTGAGCGTAGGCCTCGAAGTCCTGGGCTCTGGCGAGCGAGCGAGCGAGGAGGACGACAGAGAGGAGTCGGAAGAGCGCGGCAGCCTCCGGGAGGATCGGGTGGGTGGAAAGGGTGATTGGCCCCAAAGGGGGGGGTAAAGAACAGGGCCCCAATTGGAGCCAGCAGGGGCTCACCAAAGGGTCCTGGAGTGCCCCTTTCCTTCTCTCCACCCCCCATTTAGGCCCCCCCCCCTTGCCATCCGCTCGAGAGGAGGCAACTCATCGGGCCCTTCTCTTCACCCCCCATTTAGGCCCCCCCGCCCTCCTTGCCACCCCCTCGAGAGGAGGCAACTCATGAGCGCATCGATCTGTCTGGCGGGCCCAGGCGCTCCCGCAGGCGGCGCGCCACACCGCCGCGCCACTGGGCCTCCCACCCACCAGCGCGCGTGGCCCAACAGGCTCCTGACACATGGTGTCCAGATTCTGCGCCTGCGGGCCAGCGAGGGGCGGGGGTGAGAAGGAGGAGGCCTTCTGAGAAGGCGGCGGGGCTCCTCAGAAACCCTCCGGCCTTCTGAGAAGTGTTCCGTGTCTCCGGGGAAGGCTTACAACTCTTCTTTGAAGGCTGGAGGCCTTCCGAGCCTTCTGAGAAGGCCCGCCCCGTCTCACTCACTCCCCGGTTGCGCCGCCGCCTACAACAAACACATGACACATGAGGTCCAGATTAAGCGCCTGCACGCTCCAGGCCCGGGCGGACGTCGCCGAGCCCTGTCTGCCGTGCCTCTCCGAGAGCTTTGTCAGTCGCGCTCGCGTGCGCGCATTGTGGTTTTCTTTCACACATTTTGATGTCAGTTTGCAGCGCTCTGCGCGCCTAGCATCCCGACCATCCTGCACGTCGGCCATAGTTATCGAAGACGCCTCTGGCAAGACCACCGCCGCCCCCTTCCTTCCGTCACTGCTTGTGTGGACAAACGATGGGTCAGACCTTGGAGGGGCCTCCTGGAGGGGCCCTCTTGGAGCCCTCTTAGGGCGTCTTGGGTGTCCCTGAGGCCGCCTTGAGACCGTCTTGGGCCCTCTTGTGGCCATCTTGGCCGTTTTGGAGGCGTCTTGGGACCGTCTTGGAACCAAACTTGGAGCCATCATTGAAGCGGAAGCCGATGGAGGCCCTCCCTTGCGCGGGGCTGGCGGTTTGGGCAGGAGGCCGTTGGGAGCTCCTCGGAACCTCCAAAACATGTGATTGCGAAGGCCTTCCGACCGGTGCCGCCGGCCCTGAAGGCGGGACCTTCCGCGGGACCCTCGCTGGCGACCCCTCCACAGGACCCGCCTGGACCTCGGGGGGGCGGTGTTCTGACCAGGGGCCCCCCAGCCAGGATCCCTCCATGGGGCGGCAGATCGAAGACGCCTCTGGCGAGTCACTGGCGCCCCCTCTTCTGGAAGCGCGTGTGTCGTGGGATGTCGCGCGTCAGCACGAGAGTGCGAGTGGGCCGCGTGTTGCCCGAGCTGTTGTGGCCAAGTCGTGGGGCCAAGTCTTGGGGCTCTTTTCGGGCCCTCTTTTGGCCTACTTGTGGACCTTCTGGGCTCTTTCGGGCCATCTTAGGGTCTTCTAAACGCCTATGTTTGAATACAATTGGTAACCGGCAGCTTTTCCATGATTCGGCCCCTTAGGAAGTCTTCGGGGTCCTCCAACCAAACCCCCTAGAAGTCACACAGGCACAGACACAGACACACACACACACAGATACACTCATAAACACACATTCAGACACACATAAGCACACATACACAGACGCACACACACAAAGACACGACAAGGCACACACAGACACACACACAGACACACACACAGACACACACAGACGCACTCAGACGCACGCAGACACACACACAAACACACAGACACACTTACAGACACACACACACACACACACACGCAGACACATACAAACACACACGCATACACATTTACAAACACAAGCACACACAGGCATACACACACAGGCGCACACACACACACACACGTAGATGCACACATATACGCACAACCACACACAGGCATAAACACATACCAACACACAGACACACATAGACACAGGCACAGACAGACAGACACATGCACAAACACACAGACACACACAGACACACACAGACACACAGACACACACGCAGACACACAGACACACACACACAGTCACACACAGACACACACACACCCAGGCACACAAAGACACAGATCAGACACACAAACACACATACTCACACATATACACATACACACACGCGCGCACACGCGCGCGCACACGCGCGCGCACACACGCACACACTCAGACACACAGACACACAGACTCATACAGATACACAGAGGTACACACAGTCACACACACACAAAGCACATACACACACCCATACAAACACACACACACCCATACAAACATACACACACGCACACACCCACACACTTTGCGTCGGCGGCTAGGCAGAGGGACTGCTCTGGCGATGTAGAATCAATGGGACACACAAAACGCGAATTAAGCCGCGGTGCACGGGGGAAGAGAGGAGGCCCGGCGCGGGCGGGAATCAGAAGGATGCCGGGCCCGCTCAGAGCAGGGCCAGGCGGCGACGAGGGGGGCGCTGGGGCCGGGGACCAGCCGCGGCGGCAGGGCGCCCTGGGTGGGGGGGGGGGGGTGGCAGCAGGTCCAGCGCGAGCTGTAGGCAGAAACAGAACAGCGAGGCGGACCGTGGTGCCGAGATCCGAGTGACCTCCAGTTAACCAGGAGCGGACAGCTGGAGCAGACCACCTCAGGTGAGGAGTCGGGGGAGCTGGGGAAGCAGTCCCAGCAGACAGGGGCGAGAGAAGCGTGGGCCAGCCGAGGTGCCGGGAACCGGATGACCCGCGGGGCTGGATCGCCGGCCTTCTGCAGGAATTTGGCCCCGGGCGCACGCCCGCCGCCTCCTCCTCGAGCCGGGTTTGCACTGCCTTGGCGCTGCTCCTGCGCCAAATCGTTGCTTTGCCTGGCTTTCAGGCCCGCGGGTCTCCGCCCGGGGCGAGTGCTCGGCAGGCCACCCTCGGCCTCGGCACCTCCCTCCCCTTTGCGCCTGGTTTCCGGGCACCCCCCCCTGGCTGGCCTCGTCCACCAGCGCCGTCGGTCCACGGGCTGCCTCCTCGCCCGGCTGCGCTGTCGCGTATGCTGGACCCCCCCCGCGTTGGGTGGTCCGGCGCGGCCGCCCCCCCATGGCCTCCTCCGCCTCCTTGTTGCCCGCCTCCTCACTTGCGTTGGGCGCCAGTGCGAGTCCCGCCAGTATGGGCCGTCTCCTCCCTTGCTCCGTCCGCTGGAAAAAAACGGCAGGTTGACACGACCATTCGTTTGGAACGGCCAGGCGGGTTGACGCGACGACGGGCGTTTCGGAGCACATCTTGGGACATGCTTGGGATCTCTCGGGGCCCTTTCGAAGCCCTCTTGAGCCATCTTGGACCACCCTGGGAGCCCAAGACGCAAGCTCCCGTCAAACGCCCGATTTCTAAATACAGTAGGCGCATCGAATAAGAACCGGCTTGCCAGCAACTGGCTACGGAACTGCCTTATCCCCCGATGGCCGCAGAGACCCACGACGTTTTTGGGCACCTCAGGATCCTCAGCCATCGATGAATGATGTGTTCGAGGATTTCTGATAAGAAGACTTATTGTCGCAAGTGTCTGGTGAAGATATTGTTTCAATGTTGACAGGGTGTCTCAGGCGAAGCGCTCGTTTGTAAAGACACTCGAAGGATGTCCATGCGGCGACCGGGCGCGCTTCTCCGCCTCAAGCTCTCCTCCGAGTGATGACCGCCGTGCGAATGCATCGCAGAACATTTCGTTTGTTTCGTTCGACGCTTTGCGTCACCCATAGCGGTTTCGAATGGCGAGCTGCACCTTGGTCTTGCGAAGCGGTTCGCTGACCAGCCATAAGGGCGCTGCGGCCTGCAGGTGCCACCGGCAATGCTGTCTAGGCTGCAACCGTTCTTTACATGCAGAGTGTGACACCAGCGGCTGCTCTTTACACTAGCCGCTGATCTGCAGGACATGTTCCCGAGAGAATCATCACCTCAACGAGCTTGTCTTCCCAATCATCATCGCCATCGCTTCTCTCCTTTTCTTCCATCGGCCGTGAGGATATGAGACAGGCGAAGCGCATGGAGTCGGAGGAACAGCGGCGAAATCAGTCCCCAGAAAAAGCCAGCAAGGACGCGGCATCTGCTACTTTCCTTTGTTCGTCGCATTCTTACTTCCAATGCGTATACTCAGTCTGTCTCGTACCCAGACGCATCTGCCTTCGCCATCGGATTCTTCTCGTCGTATTGTACTTCGCCATGCATGTCAGGCCCGCCTGGATGTTATACCAAGCTCAACAAGCCAACCACGTATCATGATAGAGTGCACGTCATGCCTCAGCCCATGTAGTGATAACTTGGCTTGTAAGGTTGGCGTATTCGTTGTAGCGGAATTAGTTCTCTCTGCGATGTGTGGTACCAGGCAAGGTTGACCATCGGGATTATGTGGCGCTCTGCGTTTGTTATATTAGTTTTGCTTTGCGGGTACGGGTGGTATGTGTATAGATATTTGTATATACATATATCTATACACATATATACATATGTGTGTGTATATGGGTTCGCCAGCGTGGGCCCACCCAGAGTCTTTCTAGCAGTCCTTGGTGCGCAATATATGCGGTGCAGTCTATGGTGTGCAGTCCACTCTGCTGAACTTGAAGTCGTCATCTCCACTGCTCGCGCAAACATCCCACCCACCCACCCGCAACTTGGTTTGCAAAACCTGTTAAGACCGACTACGACGACACCGACGACAACGACTAGGACGACACCGACGACGTCTCCGACGACGACGACGACAACGACGCCGACGACGACGAAGACGACGACGACGACGCCAACGAACGCGACGACGATGGAGGAGGAAGGACGACGACGGCGACAAACACGACAACGACGACAACGACGAGGGAGGAGGGAGGACGGCAACGACGCGAACGACGACGAAGGAAGAAGGACGGCGACGCCGACGACGACAACGACGAGGGAGGAGGGAAGACGACGACGACAACGACGACGACGACGGCGACGAAATAGGAGGGACGACGACGACGACGGACGACGACGACGACGAGGGGGAGGAGGAAGGACGACCACGGCGACAACGACGACGGAAACGACCACGACGCCAAAGAGGACGACGACGACGAACACGAGGAAAGACAGAGGACGACGTAGGCGACGACGACGACGACGACGCGGGAGGAGGGAGGACGGCGACGACGACGACGACGACGCAAGAGCGCGCGCGCACGCTTTTGTTGAAAATCCGTGTTGCGAAACCTTTGGTTTTTGGTAGGTTTTTTAGACGCACGATTTTGAAATCCTTCCGAAACCGATGGGTTTTGAAGGTTTTCGGCATACGCCCGCGACGACGCGCGTGTCTGCAGTTCGTCCCATTTCTTGCAAAGGGTTCTCGCGACGGCACACGCGCAAGGGCGTTCGACAGATTTCGACATGCGCGCGCGAAGCCCGTTTGGTAGCATATTGTGACAATCTTGAAAAACCAATGGTTTTCCTAAGATTTCGCAAGAGCTCGCGCGGAAGCTTTTTTAGCAACTCTGTGTTGCGAAACCCTGTGTTTTTGTATGTTGTTTGGAAGCTCGATTGCGAAATCCCTCCGGCACCGAAGGTTTTTGAAGGATTTCGGCATGCGCGCGCGACGACGCGCGCGTGTGCACTTCGTCCCATTTTTGTTGCAAGGAATTCGTGATAAAGTATTATGTTAGAAAAGTGTCACCGCATAGTGTTTTGTTACAAGGGAACCTCAGGGGGGGGGACCCGGTCTGGCTGGGATGCTATGATTTCATATTTAGGATGGACGAGCGTGCAGAATCAATGTATATATATATATATACGTATGAAATTATAGTATCCCGGGGGGGGGGTCGAGTTTATTCCTTTTTTAGAAAGGAGAATTTATTTCTGTTCGCAGTGAGTTGTCCACTCCACTGCTCGCGCAAACATCCCACCTACCCACCCGCAACTTGGTTTGCAAAATCTCTTAAGACCGTGACGGTGGGTACCACATGGCACTTGGCAACAACAGCGACGCCGTCCACGACAGCGACAACGACGATGACGACGCCACCGACAAAGTCTACGACGACACCGACGGCGTCTCCGACGACTTCGACGACGCCGACAACGACGACGACGACGACGACACCGACGACGACGACGACACCGACGCCGACGACGACGACGATGACAACGACAACGGCGATGACGACGCCGACGACGACGATAACGACGACACCGACGACGACGACGTCAACGACGCCGACGACGACGACGACGCCGATGACGACGACGGCGGCGGCGACGACGACGCCGACGTCGACGACGACGAAGACGACAATGACGCCGACGCCGACGACGACGACGAAGACGACGACGGCGCCGCCAACGAAGACAACGAGGAAAGAGGGAGGATGACGACGACGGCGGCAACGACGACAACGACGAGGGAGAAGGGAGGACGGCGACGACGCGAACGACGAAGAAGGAGGAAGGACGGCGACGCCGACGACGGCAACGACGAGGGAGGAGGGAAGACGACGACGACGACAACGACGACGACGACGACGACGACGGCGACGAAATAGGAGGGACGACGACGAGACGCCGACGACGGACGACGACGACGACAGGAGGAGGGCGGACGACCACGGCGACAACGACGACGGAAACGACCACGACGCCAAAGAGGACGACGACGACGAACACGAGGAAAGACAGAAACACGTAGGCGACGACGACGACGACAACGACGCGGGAGGAGGGAGGACGGCGACGACGACGACGACGCAAGAGCGCGCGCGCACGCTTTTGTTGAAAACCTGTGTTGCGAAACCTTAGGTTTTTGTAGGTTTTTTGGACACACGATTTTGAAATTCTTCCGAAACCGATGGGTTTTGAAGGTTTTCGGCGTACGCCCGCGACGACGCGCGTGTCTGCAGTTCGTCCCATTTTTTGCAAAGGATTCTCGCGACGGCACACGCGCAAGGGCGTTCGACAGATTTCGACATGCGCGCGCGCGAAGCCCGTTTGGTAGCATTTTGTGACAATCTTGAAAAACCAATGGTTTTCCTAAGATTTCGCAAGAGCTCGCGCGGAAGCTTTTTTAGCAACTCTGTGTTGCGAAACCCTGTGTTTTTGTACGTTGTTTGGGAACTCGATTGCGAAATCCTTCCAGCACAGAAGGTTTTTGAAGGATTTCGGCATGCGCGCGCGACGACGCGCGCGTGTGCACTTTGTGTCATTTGTTGCAAGGGATTCGTGAAAAAGTCCTATGTTAGAACAAAAAATGTCACCGCATAGTGTTTTTTACAAGGGCACCTCAGGGGGGGGAACCCGGCCTGGCTGGGATGATCTGATTTTATATTCAGGATGGACGAGTGGTCAGAATCAGATATGATTTACATACCCGACAGGGGAACCGATACGTCCGGGAGGGGGTAGAGTCTATTCTCTTGTTAGAAAGGAGAATTCACTTTGACTGTCTTGAAGCTGTCCTCTCCACTGCTCGTGCAAACATCCCCGCTCTCCCACCCGCAACTTGGTCGCAAGACCTCTTAAGACCGTGACGGTAGGTACCAAAATACATTTGGCAACGACATTGACGCCGACGACGACAGCCACCACGACGCCGACGACGACGACGACAACGACGCCGACGACGACTACGACGACACCGACGACGACCCGGACGACTCCGACGACGACGACAACGACAACGACGACGACGACGACGACGACTACGAGGACGACACCGACGACGACGACGACGCCGACGCCGACGCCGACGCCGACGACGACGCCGACGATGCCGACGACGACGACGACGCCGAAGACGACGACGACGCCGACGACGACGACGACGACGGCGACGACGCCGACGACGCCGACGACGACGATGCCGACGACGGCGACGACGGCGACGACGACGACACCGACGAGGGCGGATGGAGAACGGCGACGACGCGAACGACGAAGAAGGAAGGAGGACGGCGACGCCGACGACGACAACGACCAGGGAGGAGGGAAGACGACGACGGCGACGACGACGACGGCGACGAAACAGGAGGGACGATGACGAGTCGCCGACGACGACGACGACGACGAGGGAGGGGGAATGACGACCACGGTGACAACGACGACGGAAACGACGACGACGCCAAAGAGGACGACGACGACGACGTCGAGGAAAGACAGAGGACGACGACGGCGACGACGACGACGCCGAGGGAGGAGGGAGGACGGCGACGACGGCGACGACGACGCAAGAGCGCGCGCGCACGCTTTTGTTGAAAACCTGTGTTGCGAAATCTTAGGTGTTTGTATGTTTTTTGGGGACTCGAGTTTGAAATCCTTCCGAACCGACGGTTTTTGAAGGATTTCGGCATGCGCGCGCGAGGCCGCGCGCGCGTGCACTTCGCCCCATTTGTTGCAGAGGATTATCGCGACGGTACGCGCGCAAGGGCGTTCGAACAATTTCGACATGCGCGCGCGAAGACGGCTTGTAGTATTTTTTGAACATCTTTTTCAACTTGTGATTTTCTTAGGATTCGCATGCGCGCGCGAAACTCTGTGTTTTCATATGTGTTTTGGGCACTCGATTTTGAATACCTTCCGGAACCGAAGGTTTTTGAAGGATTTCGGCATGCGCGCGCGACGACGCGCGGGTGTGCATTTGGTTACGCATTTGGAAGGCATTTCTGGGAATTTCTCATTTTTGGTAAACGATTGCGCGCGCATGCTATTTTAAAGTGAACTGAGAGGGGCGATACCAGCGTAGTTGGGATAGTATGAGTTCACAAGTATGATGGACATTGGGTCAGAATCCTATGTGTTTTGCATCGGTTCCCGGGGGGTCTTTAAGCCGGGGGGGTGGAGGGTGGTAGGCGTCGGTCTGGAGGAAGCCTCGAGAAGGGGCCCCGTCGGTGAGTGAATTCTGAGGAAGTTGCAGGCGGGACCCCCCCTCCTTATGAAGCCGCCAGATCATGTTAGCAATGCGAGCGGGTCGGCCAGTTTATGTAGTTTTCGTCATGCTTGAGCTCTTGAGTTGTTGATCTGGAGGAAGGTTCGAGCGGGAGCCTCGTCGGTGAGTGCATTGTGAGGAAGTCTCAGGC